GATGCTGTATTAGATGATTTATCAGATGATTCAGATAATTCAGATGAAGAAAGTGATTTGCCAGAAAATGATTACGTTGATACTCATGTTCAACTTCGTTCTGGTCGGCTAGTAACAACCTGGCAAAGCCGATTTACAAAACAAAAGTTTTTGTTCGCTGTATAATTTAAGACATGATGATAGAGAAATTTTCATCCCGATTGTGATTAATTATATGGCATTAAGGTACATGTCTATGGACTTGGTATATGACCTCATTATATGCTTAAATTTTCAATTATTTTTCTTGACCCCTCCTTCCATCGCACAAGAAAATACGTGACCCCTCCTTCAGAGGGCTCCAAAATGTCGTAACCCCTCTTCAAAATCACCCACCCCCTACCTCACCATAAATAATGACCGCTCCCTTAACATATATTTCCCGATCAATGGTGAGACGGGAACGACGCCAACGTCTTTCTAGGTTGCGACGTTTTGTTTAATTTCCTTTAATTTCATTAATATACAAAGGTGCCCAAGACGTTGAGAGATGAGTTTTGATCGTAGAGGAGCATGTTTGTCAAGGAGTCTAGATAAAACAGAGTCATATTGATCACAAAATTCAGTTAAATCAGTCGCAGTAGATGTAACTAATGGAGAATTGATAAGATAAGAACCAAACAAGTCTATATCCACGGAGCAACGTTTTCTGTATGATACGACTTTAGTAGATAACTTTGATTTGAATACAGAAAGCTTGCAGTGAACAGCATAATGATCAGATATGAAAGGGTGATGTATTTGGATATTTTGGATATCAGAACGAGTTATGACATCAAGAACATGCTTGCTTTTATGGGTTGGCGTTGTGCTATTAAGAACAGATAAATAGCTCTTATCGTAGATGAGCACGCCACCCCAACAAACCAGCGGTATCGTGATGAACGTGGCATCACAACGAGACTATCGGGTCGAGCTTCCGATAATTTGCTTAGAAATTTTCTACAAATCTTCGAGAGAACACTACATTTTGATAGATATTTATGATATACAAAAAATTTTGTAGGCTTTCTAACTATGGCCAAAGACTATATATCTTTTGGATGAAAGAACAGAGTTTTGAAGGCAGAAGGCAAGGAATTCGATCGGCATTTGCAATGGAACAAAGTTCGTAATTTGCAGCAGAAAAGCCACTGAGAAAGAACACTCCAAGTAACACAATTTCTTACATTTGTAGCAATAATTTCAAAGCTAAATGTTTTTTTAAGCCACATGGAGGTTAGGGGGATTTTTTTAAAGCCAGTATCTTTGCCACAAAGTTCGCTTTTACCTTAAAACCCAGCTTAAAAAAGCCACTGAGATAGAAACGGAGTGACCGTTCGTACGGGCAAACAAATGTAAACATATCGCAAACCTCATTGATTAATCAGTCAAATTTTTGGTAATTTAAAACAAACTTAAATCAAACTATCCTATGTCTGTTGAGAAATAATAAGTGATACAGAAGAGCTTTACTAAGTCATAGTCCATGCAAGTTTGGGTAAAAGTTTTGGTAATGTTTATGGCCGTTCATGCTGGTCACCGCAGAATTCTTGTATTGAAGCCGTGTGTCCGAGTATAGTCTGCTAGTCGTGGTCATCGAAACATTCGGCGCTCATTTGATAGCCGTACGTTTATAAGTCTGCAAAGCTATTTGCTTTCTATTCCCTAAGCGAAGATACTGGATAGTTAACATTCGAACAACTCTTTTTAATATAAACATACTTGAGAACTACAGAACGAAATCGAATGCCGTACGAATAGCCCACGTATACAGTGTTTTAACAAGAGCTTCCTCGCATAGTGTGGACAGCATAAAAAATCTTGGACTGCAAAGACATCGGCTTCAAATCAATATCTGTCATCCAAGTGGCTTAATAAAGCATCAATATTCTAAATATATGTAAGATTTTTTAGTAACTCACTGTTCTCTCGACGTACTGTATTTTGACTGATGAGCCATGCGAGTAACTTTTTCATGCCATTATCAATGGTAGCAAAGTCACAATAATTCATTGCTTTCTGACTTCAAACTACTGTTCATACATTCAAAAGCTATATTACGTTTGATCAAAGTTGGAAAGACTACAAGAAACTTTGTATGACAAAGATATCTATCAGAATGTTGTGATCAGTCGAAGATTTGTAGTACATTTCTTAGCAAATTATCCGAAGCTCGACCCGATAGTCTCGTTTTGATGCTACGTTCATCACGATACCGCTGGTTTGTTGGGGTGGCGTGCTCATCTACGATAAG